TTCGATTTTGATATATGAGAACAGTCTTCAGAAGTACTAGAATTGCATGAAAATAACAAAATCCCCGGGAACAAATATACCTCAAACTACAAATTCCATTTTTTATGTCTATAAATGTCTTTCCTAACGGAATCACAAAAAAGACGAGTCGTCATTTTCACTTTCAAACACAGATAATTCTGGACACACATGTGTTTGAAAGCTCAAACTTCTGTGGTGAGCTGTAAACACTATTACTGATTAGCTCAAAGACGTTTGTCAGGCTAAAGTATGTTCAAACGATGAACTTGTCCCTTTAAAGGTGTCTGTAGGGGCTTGAAATTGATTCACTTTGGTGGTTTCCAGTGGTCGTTTCAAGGCTGTAACCTTATGTTTATTGCTAATAATTCGTATCTCATAAAACTACCAAGTCCTTTTAATATTATACAATATCACTTCAACTTTATATTTGTTGACAAACTGTATGTGGTGTTTTGAATATAAATATTAAGTGATTTTCAATAAGTACTTAACCATGTTAAAATTTTACTTGACTTGCTTCTTGTATCTGGAATATTACATCGAAAACGACTATTACCGGACACAAATAGGTGGATCTAAAATGCTGTTGGGATTTAGGTTTAGCTCCAACTTCTAGCTATATATAGCTTTCTATAAGATGGGATATCGATTTAGCTCTAAATAGCTTACCATCTGATTGGATATAATTTGAGTTCTATACGGTTTAGAGATCTTAAAGCCTATAAAATGAGATATAGGTTTAGCTCTATATAACTTGCTATATTATGATGGGATATAGTTTTATCTCTATATATACAGAATGGCTCTATATAGTTAGATTAAGTATGTGATATAGGTTCAGCTCAAAGCAGCTTGGCTCTATATAGCCTGATTTTGTATGATATATAGCTTAATATGCTCTATGCAGTTTGGTTCTATATATTTGCTTTATAATGAGATATAGGTTTAGCTCAATACAATTTAACTCTATATAGCGTGCTATAGAATAGAATATAGGTTGAGCTCTATACAACTTAGTTCTATATAGCTTGATATAGAATAGAATATAGGTTGAACTCTATACAATGTAGCTCTATAAAGCTTGCTTTGGGATTGGGGTATAGGTTTAGTACAATCTAGCTCTATAACTTGCTATAGTATGGTGTACTGCATTACACCTTGGTTGTATATAGCTTGCTATAGCCTAGATGGGGTGGTTTCAATCAATACGGGGTATGGGATGGGATATGGAAGGAAATAGTTTAGCTCTATATAGATCAATACAGTGTTTGCTATAGACTTAGTTACACCTACAGTTTGGCTATGCTCTATGATATAGTTTTAGCTCTAAACAGTTTAGCTCTATATATGGGATAGGATATAGTTTCAGCTCGATACAGTCAAGTCTTTTTTATCAGGGATAGGGTAGGCCCTATAGGTCTATACAGTTTAGCTCTATATATAGAATAGGATATAGTTTCAGCTCGATACAGTCAAGTCTTTTTTATCAAGGATAGGGTAGGCCCTATAGGTCTATACAGTTTAGCTCTATATGGGATAGGATATAGTTTCAGCTCGATACAGTCATGTCTTTTTATCAAAGATAGGGTAGGCCCTATAGGTCTATACAGTTTAGCTCTATATATCGGATAGGATATAGTTTCAGCTCGATACAGTCAAGTCTATTTATCAAGGATAGGGTAGGCCCTATAGCTCTATACAGTTTAGCTCTATATATGGGATACGATATAGTTTCAGCTCGATATAGTTAAGTCTATCTAGGGTAGGCCCTAAAGTTCGATACAATTTAGCTCTATATATCGTGCTATAGTCTGGGATATAGGTTTACACCACTTGCCATGACATATGGTTTAGTTTAGCCTAATACAACCTGAGGTGGGGTTAAGGTTTATCCGGCGCACCTCAAGTTTTGAGATAGATTATGAGAATACTATTCATACAGTCGTGATTGTACATAATATAATAAAAGATCGGATATAACAGATAGTGTGGTTTAAAATAGATCATTGTGTGTTTAAAGTGTGAGGGAAATTATACTCAGATAAACAATTTAATAGTTAATTACTATGTTCTATTGTTTATCTCATTAAGATCACTTTAATATTCTGTACATTACGTTTGTATACGTGTTGTCTAGAGACGATAAGACTACCTGCCAGCTAGTCGGTAGGGTTGGTTTTCGCTCCATTTTGTGTGATCAACTATCGATCTCGCTTCACAAAAAGGATTAATTGTCGATTGAACAACTTGATTTGGCCGGATTAGCACAGTGAAATATCCACCACGGTTTATTGTTTTCTGTAAATGACAAGATAATACATGCTATTAACTAGCGTGTCAAAGTTTCGGATATAGATCGGATAAGATATCTAGAATGGATACGACGGATTTCCTTATACCGACCAGTATACCAGACATGGATACACCTCGACGTGGAAATTCAAGGGTAATGCGGGATCGTTCCATCTCTTCGCGGGAACGATCTGGTGTAAGAAAATCGCGGCGGAAATCGTCTGCGTTTCCGAAAACTGAGTGGGAAATTATGGATATAGAACGTGATCGGATGCAAACTCCCAAAACATCTCGTCGTATCGCCGAAAAACATGCTGAATTGGAAGTGGAGCATAACTGGTTACTTAAAGAGGAAGAAGATCGTATAAAAGAAAAATTGGCTCAGGCCACAATTAAATTGACAATTTGTCTTCCAGATAATGATCCTTTGGATTCCATCAATCAGCGTCTAGAGGAGATTCAGTCTATGGTGAAACCTAGAGCAAAAATACCAGATTTCTTAACAGACTTATCTTCTGAACAACTTGGTAAAATCATGGTAAGGACTTTACAGTTATATCTCGAAAGACGGGCTCCGATAGTCTGGTGTGTATGAGAGCATCTCATTGGGGTAGCTCTTATCCAGAAACTACGACCATCTAGATGTTCGTGAATTCCGACCTCCCAAGTCAGTGAATTGAACCAAATTTTTGTTTGTATGTATAGAAAAAATGGGTTGTATTCCCAAATGTACCGCCACTTGAATTCAACCATGACAGTTGTCTCCCCATCCTCCCGGCCCCCTTTAATTCAGTCTGCCAGTGTACCCCCCAGATATTACTTGTCCCACCAGCGATACCCATCAGAAATACATTGAAAAGCAATGTTGTAATTTATTCGAGTAAGAAAATCTTGAAATGATATAAAAGGCCACACCATGTTTACAAGCCAAAGTATCGTATGGTCTAATGATTATGTATTCATAAATAACATGGTCCTACATTTAATCATAGGATTAACAGATTAGCTAGGTTAGTCTCTCGTTATTTGATAATTCCACTCAACTTTGAAAATCTGGTAACAATTCACCCAGTCAGCATTTAATATTTTCAACATTGTTGTTATTGTCTCGAGCTAATAAAATGCATATTTACCCTGCCGACCTTTTCATATATATGTATTGAAATTAGGTTTTTAAGAAAATGAGATTTTACGACTTGATTTGCATAAAGGTCGTAAAAAACTAATAATGTTCAGGATACCAATAATCCCGGTATGTCATGAACAAACTTTCCAAATAAAAGTTGATGTCGTTAATAAAGTAAACCTGTTATCTCCACAATAAACGTGTTATGGTTAAAAAAGTAACGCTGTTATCTATACAATAAACGTGTTATGGTTAAAAAAAAGTAACCCGTTATCTACACAATAAACATGTTATCATTAAAACGTAACCGTGTTATCTACACTGTAAACATGTTATCGCTAATAAAGTAACCTTGTTTTATACACAATAACACTTTGTTATTGATGAAATAGTCTTGTTATCGTTAAAAAATTAGTCTTGTTATCTTCACAGTAAAATCGTTAAAAAATAGCCCTGTTATCTACACAGTAAATATAATTTTATCGTTAAAGAAATAACCCTGTTATCTGCATAGTAAACATGTTCTCTTTAAAAAAAATAGTCACCAGTTATTCCGACCGTACATAATTATGTTATCGTTAAAAAAATAACCTTGATATCTACACTGTTAACATTTTATCTTTAGAAAAGTAACCGTGTTATCTATACAGTCAACATGTTATCGTTGAAAAGTAGCCATGTTATCGTTGAAAAGTAACCATGTTATCTACACAGTAAACATGTTATCGTTGAAAAGTAACCATGTTATCTAAACAGTAAACATGTTATCATTGAAAAGTAACCATGTTATCCACACAGTAAACATGTTATCGTTGAAAAGTAACCATGTTATTTACACAGTAAACATGTTATCATTGAAAAGTAACCATGTTTTCTACACAGTAAACATGTGATCATTGAAAAGTAACCATGTTATCCACACAGTAAACATGTTATCGTTAAAAAGTAACCCTGTTATCTACACAGTAAACATGTAATCATTAATAAATAAACCTGCTAATAGCTATCTGCATAGTGTTAACGTGCTACTTAGTATCATAATCTACTACTATATAGATCATGTACATCCCCAAGTCTAAGAAAAATTTCAATTTTTTTAATATGGTTTCGGCAAATTTTAGACAAAAAAAACTCCCACGAAAGACAAGAACGTCTACTTTTACTTTTTGTATTCTATGGCATATTAGGTTTCGCAAAATCAAGAAATAGAACACACAAGTCCACAACCAGGATATAAAGTCTTTGGATAGTTCTCTGGGCAAATAAAGTTCCCTAAAAATTAAGGTCATCTGCTTACGGCACTATAATCTTATTCATACTCTATCATATTTTAGACAGTGTCTGTGGATGATGTAGAAGAAAGGCGAGAGAAAAGAAGGAAGGCATCGAAGGTAACTTATTCCTTAAAAGAGTATATTTTCTCAAGTCAATATCTGTTCTAACCGTAAACGCATTCGAAATCCTTTCAGCTTTGATATTCCTTCGCATAGTTGTAAAATTTGCAAATTATTAATGAATGTTTCAGGTTATCGACATGTTTAGACACGCCATTCAAATGATTCTTATGATCAACAAAACAGCCATTCCGAAAAAAAGGTAAGCATAAGTTGTAATTTTAATCACTTAGACACAAAACTGACTTAAAGTGGACGATGTACGGTGTTCGGTGTGGGATTATCAATACAGTAGAAAATAGAAGAAACGAATCGTGTCCGCACCCGTACCTCATGTGTTTACTTCTACTATTTTCGTTTGTATCAATTATTCCACACCTTACACCGCACCAGACACCGTACCTTGTCTATTCGCGGTTTTAAGGTGCGAATAGACGATGTACAGTGTACGGTGCGGTGTACGATGCGAGATCATCGATACAGTATACTTTGTATTGGTGGAATAACGCATGGAAACTAACAAGACATGTTAATGATTAAAAATCATTAGTTACTAAGAGTATAAACTATGCATGTTTAATGTAATATTGATATCTACTGTATGAGCTGTTAATGAGCAATCAATTCTTGAATTGATTACTGGTACATTATAGTTAAGAGCCTTGTGTACTCGTTGTACTGAGTTACTCGAAATTGGTAGGGACAAAAGAGTAATAACGACATATATGACCATTGCTGTAACTACGGCTTTTCAGTAACTATACAGTTGGTTTTCAAGTGGTTTGACCGCTGCAGACATCCGTCTAAACCGCAAATATACATTGTACGTACATGGACCATTTCTAGCCTTTTAAAATACCTGATGCCACTCCCTAACTGGGTTTGTCATCAAGTCCTTCCATTTGAAGTTTCTATATTGCAAATAAAGTTACCGCCAGTTAGTGCACAATCAAAATGAAAGATAGCTTTCAAAAACCCCTTATACCTTAATACTACATTATCATTTCTAGATATCATTTTCAAGATGCTAGTCAACCTAAAAATGTAGAAGATGATGAGATAGCGTCCGCATCAAGATCTAGTGTAAGTTCCTACTCTAATGACGTTATACCATCCAATCTCAGTCATATTGCTTTACTGCTGTCATGTTTCAGATGTTCCTTCACAGCCCATAGCTTGAGGTTATGATAGCAAAATTTTGATTGCTCCAGAAAATCTTTTTTGAAAACTAACACTAACACTAACTTACTTCCGCGATCCACGACCATATATACAGTCCCCATCTACTCAAATATTCCCTTATTACACAATTTATGACGTTTCCCGTCTCTATAGACGATAATATAGATATATCGACCCATCGGGTGCAGGGTATAAGGACGTAAAATTCCATTTATTCCATATCAAATGTGTAACTTGTATTGTAGTTGAGTAATGAAGTACAGATGGGATTGTCATCTTCACCAGAACATAGAACTAGTAAAGATCTAAAACGAGTAAGTATCTTTATTTGCATTGACAGTTCCTGTCTCTATCAGCAGATGATTTCCACACGAAGACGAAATTTGTATCAATTCTGGTATACAGATACATGGTCCGAAATAATTTGCTCAAGGCCTTGACCGTCTAGTCGTTCGGATGGGACAATAAACCGAGGCCCCGTGTGCTACAGGCTGTGCACGTTAAAGATCCCTCGACAGTTGGAAATCGAAAAAGAGCAGGCTAATGCCGCTGTCCTGGCAAAATTTTCCTCATTGCACCCTGCATGGCGTTGCCCGTCTTCATTAGCCCACATGGTGCAGAAGAGTAGGACGTAAAACTCCATTCATTTCATTTCATTTTCAAGGTCTTGATGACATAGAAACAATGAACGAAACTATAATTAGACGAAAACTAACCAAACGAATCGAGCTATTGTAGATAGGATCATGAAGTATTTGATTGTCACAATTTGTATTTGTTAAATTGTAGATGAACCAGTTATTGGATCTTCTTTCTGAAAAGTGATATGGGTAGCTATTATGTAAATTTGAAGACGTCGTCAAATTTGTACCTTTGTTTTAGAACGTTTTATTCTCGAAATTTAAAATCGCTCAATTTTGTTTCAGATAACGTGGGTATTAAGAGCTACTAGGGCCTATAAACATTTATTTCCTGATGAATTAGAGAAAGATTTAGCTCAGATTGTAGCTTATGAAAGGTAGGCAATACTGTATAATGCACAGCATAACAAAACATCTAGTTTGAATGTTAAATTGCAGGCCATAGCCAATTCCGATATAACATTTCGCCCAACTTGCCACGACACATATTCAGACAATGTAACAGGTCATGATTCTGAGGGTGTTGATATATGCAAATTGTATTGAGAAGTACTAAAACTACACGACAATTTCATAATCACTTTCATTATACATTGTACCTCTAACTAGAAATTCTGTACATTATGCCTTTTCTATTATATAGCAGTCTCAAGAAAAGATGTGCGTCATTCTAACTTTTAAACGCAAATATAATTCTGGATACACATGGATTCGAAGGCTAAAATTTCGACGGCGAGCTGTGAACACAATTACTGATTAGATTGGCTAAAAATTGGTCAAACGGATGGTGTAACGGTCCCTTTAGATTGCTGAATCTTACTAGTTTCCCGAAGCTTTAAGGTACCCAATAATTATTTAATAAAATATGGTAATGAATATATTTTTAGGTATGATGATAATAGATTAATAGCTAGTCAAGATAAGGCACCAGAAAGATTCTATTTTGTACTCAATGGTAGAAGTAAGTTCCAATATAGTTCTTTCAGTTCAGAAGTAAGCTGTATGGTCATAACTGCCCTGTTATAGCAGCGCAATATGTTTTCACCTTATGGACTCACAAAATTATCCTTGGAGATGAAAAATATTAGAAAACAAAACAAGAAAGGAAATATTTTAATCTATAACAAATTGATATTTGATTGGTCTTAATACCGCTTATATAATTTCAGTACAGAAACTACGAGAATATCAACTATCGTCTGGTTGTGTAGATAAATCAATGGGTTTTATCAATAAAGGAATGACATCGTCTGTAAGTCGCTTACTTTAACGCTTCATTTATGCTTTGATTTTTAAGTGCTGACTGTACGCTCGCTAGTTATTCTGGAGGTCCGGAGTTACCGGTATGGGCCTTGATGGTACCTTCAAAGTTTAATACCCGATTTCCCCTGATCGGTAACAAAGGATGAAGGGGTTAACTTGGAAAACATGCCGGAGAGGAAAAAAGAAATGAGGCGTCTTGCCCGATACAAGATGACTCAAAAAGTTCTCAGGCAAAAAAGAGTCAGTCAATTCCGCTTTCCTGGCAACATTTCCCTGATTAAAGGGCAGTAACTCTAAATTTGTTGATTATTTTATGTTGTCTGAATAACATTGCAGACCGAGCAGTTGATAAAACAGTTTCCAAGAGAATATCATTTAGTAGCTAAAGGTCCAGTAGAAGTGCTTATATTACATAGAGAGGTAAGTTCTTGGTTTCTGTTCATCTCATAACTTAAAAAGTTGATAGCTGTTATGTCTCTGAAAGCTGACGGACCTTGTATGTCTTAAAGTAGACGACTTTGAATATATCTCCGATAGCTGACGGCTCTTATATCTCTGATATAGCCTATTATAGCTAACGTATGTTGCATTATTGATAGATGACGGCTTTTTCATTGAAAGCTGACAACGTTTGACGGCTTTTATATCACTGACAGCGACAGATTGTTTATCACTGATAGCTGACGGCTTTTAAGTTAACGGCTTGTATATCTATATATCTAGCGGTTCTATTTTTATCTTTCTACGAATTGGGACCTTTCTTTCGGGATTAAATGTTTATATTTTGAATCTGATTATCATTTTAGGACTTTATGAGGTTAAAAATAACAACACATGGTCCACCAATAGAATTTCTACGAACTATAGAACTATTTTCTGAATTTCCCTGTGAAAAAGTAGTTTCTAGACCAGACTCTATAGAATTCAAGTACTATGGGTAAGTTTCTCAGATTGAAATTGATCTTCACTATATAGGGAGAGATATTTCAGTTTAGTTTTGATTGGAACATTGGTAATTTAGTACCCTTGGTGTTAATATAAATGCGTATTTTGACTCATCTCTGGTTTGAACGAGTATTGGTATATTTTCAATACATTATTACTTATAGAGTACAAACGAGTGACTTCCGGTGGACAATTCAAATGAGCTTTATTACATTAAATCCGTAAATCTATAATAAAAAAAAATATAAAACTTATTGGAGGAAATGGAATTATCAACGTGCTTGGTATCGCTGACGAAGCAAGCAGGGTTAACAGACACTTCAAGATCATCTGACACAACTCTTTAACCTAGTTTGTCGGCTCTGCTTCCCTTTTTATCTGATCTATTGCACTTCCAGATCACAATTTCATGGACAATATTCTTTTTCAGACAAAATACAATAATTGCAAAAGATGCATTTGATACCCCGTGGATACATATTGTTAAATCGGTGAGTAGCTGATTATATAGTGAGTCGTCTCCTACTAGGTAATATAGGGTTGTGGGTTCGAATCTACTACGATGTATGAAACAATTTTGAATCAGAGCAATTCCAATCAGAGTTGTCAAAAGTGTGGACTATCCCCATTTAAGATCATCGACATCGCCAAATTGGATAATACAAAACATTTTTTTTTAGATATACAAGGTATGAGTAACCATTTTGCTTTGTTAATTTTTATTATAGGGTCATGTAAAAGTTGTCAGAGTTCAGTACGTAGTTGATGTTACTAATGATTCAATATTTGAAGGACAGACGACAGAAGAACTGGGGTGTGGTCGAGCTTTTAGTCATGCTTCTGGTAAGAATCAATGTATGGACCAATGTTGCAGGAAAATAAAATAGCTTTAGGCTACTACACGTGTAACAACATGTTAGAGGAAACCAAAGAAAGTACATTTGACCCGAAAGAAGGGACCGAATCCCATTAAATATAGGGGCTCTGACAAAGGCTCCAAGAAGCCAATGGATTTAAGCTGTCCTGCGATGAATTTTGTGCATCTTATATCCGTTCCTAAAAAGTTCTTGGTCTTCAACTATCGTTTGTGTGTTCATTTATTCTAGCTATGTTAGGTGTCATAGCCAAACAAAGAGAACTAAAAGCTTTAAAAGAAGACGAGGGGGAAGAGGACGATGTGAGGTTTTTTAAATATGAAATTAAACCATCAAAACAATCAATCCATAGGAAAACTCCTAGGACAGGTAATACTTTCTGTTAACTTGATCGTTTTTACCAATGATGTTCTCTTATTATAACCCACGATGTTCTCATAGTATACGCAATGATGTTCTCATAGAATGAGCAATAATGTTCTCATCGTATGAGCAATACTGTTCTCAGGTTCTATCCAATAATGATTTCAAAGTATGAGCAATAATGTTCTTATCGTATGAGCAATAATGTTCTCATAGTATGAGTAATAATGTTCTCATGTTCTAACCAATAATGTTCTCATCGTATGAGCAATAATGTTCTCATCATATGAGCAATGATGTTCTCATAGTATGAGCAATGACGTTCTCATAGTATGAGCAATAATGTTCTCATAGTATGAACAATGATGTTCTCATTTTATGAACAATGACGTTCTCATAGTATGAGCAATAATGTTCTCATAGTATGAACAATGATGTTCTCATAGTATGAACAATAATTGTTCTCATAGTATGAACAATAATGTTCTCATAGTATGAACAATAATGTTCTCATAGTATGAACAATAATGTTCTCATAGTATGAACAATGACGTTCTCATAGTATGAACAATAATGTTCTCATAGTATGAACAATGACGTTCTCATAGTATGAACAATAATGTTCTCATAGTATGAACAATGACGTTCTCATAATATGTAACATAATGCTATAAATAATGTATCCTATTTATACTTTTGATAATTTGTCATATTGAGATCGCAAATGGAAAACGAATGCTCAATTATTGCTTTACAGATAGTCGGTTGATCATTGTAAAGGAATATAAAAGTCTCTTCATACGGTTTTCCCAGATTAGTAAGAGCATAATTGTATCACTTTTCAGAGATATGTCTGGAGAGGTACATATAAATTTTTGATAAACTCTCGTCACACACTCACCTATGCTAGACAAAAAAATCCCATATATGTAATATATTGAAATTCGACTTCTTTTCCAGAAATTCACAAGAAAACGAGTCAAGAGAAAGTCAAACTTCCAGAAATCAGCGTTCAGGAAATTAAAGAGGATTCTCAAGTAAGTGTACCAAGCTCAAAGTATGACGCAGATTTGCTGGTTGGTGGATGCCAAGATAACGTTCGTTTCCAGTTAAATGTAATTGATATCGCGGACTATGTATAGTCGTGGTTGTGGATCAGGATCAATTGATTGGTTCGGTACTGTTGGTTTGCTAGTTGAATCTCACGGTCATATGCGAATAGGAAAATATAACGTAACGGTATTTAATTGACAGGTATTGTGAAGGGACGCTGCAGTCCAACTGTGAACAATTCCATTTCAATTTGTATCATGCCAATTGATTCATTTTGACCTATCTTTCAGTCGCCATTATCCTCTTCCCGATCTTTAACTCTACCACCAATCGTCAAAGCGACCATGTCTACACCGAGAGTTGGAGATGGCTTTCATGCTCATGGTACGTTTCTAACACGGGAAAAGACGGAAGTAGACCCACTTTTATCGAGTCGTAGCCGTAAAAAAGAACAGACACACAGAAGAGCTTATTTACAACTTGACGTGCTATCACAAGGAGATATTTTTGTAAGTATGGAAGAAACATTGAAATCCCTTAAGGCTGAACTGGATTCGAGATACCTGTTTGTCTGCAATTAAATCTAATTTATAAGGTCAAGTTTGAGAAGGTTGGTAGAATAATAATGTCTACCTGTGCAGCGAGTATCTCTTCCTCTGGGAAAACCGTTATTCATCAACCAAAGCACTTCCACGACTAATAATACGATAAAATCCCTGCACAGGAACCCAGGTTTAGTATATATGCCCCTATTTCAAAAAATGTGCTCAGAATTTTACATTTTCTTCCAGGGACTGGAGACATTAGATTCACCTCAAGTTAACCCTGTGATAAATGAAGGTCCGGCTGTCTCTTTGGTAAGTGACCACGTATAATGTTTGCAAACTTAACACTGATTCTGCACTAACCCGCATAGTTTCATTGGCTTTGTGACTTTGATCTGCAGATTTTCTATAATCAGTCTTTACCCTTTGTAAGTTAAGTCCTTTATTTCAGATGAGTGACGGAGCAGAAGTTATAAAAATTAACAAAAGATTCTTTTTACAACATGCTCAATATAATACCATGTTAAAGGTTGAAACCTTGGTAAGTTATGATTTCATTATAATCATTTCATGCTACAAGGTGGTAGGCAAGCAGCTTCGTTAGGTTCGGAAATGGATTACACGAGTACATAGAACCTTACTGTATTGCCCCATCATCTTCACATGCTATGTCAAGCTATTATGAATGTTTTACTTATACCTTGACTGCAATATCCACCTTTCTAGTATCATGGAAGTTTGTAAATGAAGCGATTTGATTGGATTGCACGTTATCGAATACATAATGTTTAAAGCCTTTATGTCGAGGCGTCTGATAGGCTGTATTTGGTGGCGTATAGTGCAATCAAATCGCTTCCTCCCGTGATACAAGAATAGTGGCTATTGCTAGGTGACTTTGGAAAGACGTGTCCCATCCGACTACCCGACTTGCCCATGTACTCCTGCTAACAAGCTGGACAGATTGTAAAACCCGAAGGAACATTCTTGAAAGGTGCTGGGATCATCGCTTGGCAAGTTCCTCTTAAATTCTGTATCACATTTCGCTTTATTTCAGCAAAGAGAATTTCTAACAACTGAAGAAGTGAAATCTATTTTATATGATCAAGAAACGTGGACACAATATAAACATCTATTAATGCAGAAGTTAATCAGTAATTTATCGCCCAGGAAATCACATGTTACTACCAGCTGTTAAGTTTACGACGAACTGGATATTAGTCATTCAATTTGATAAGTGACACACACGGCCGAGATTTGAGACGACATTCCGTTACTATTACATGTAGTATGTATATGGAACAGAAAATCCCAAAATATTTAATTGTGATACGTGATTCTGTGATATATTTGTTATTGTTTACTTTTGTTTGTTTACATATTGTTTTGATTAAAACTTGATATGATAAGAAAATATAGGTGTACGCAAATCCTAGTTTGCCAAGCAAGGTGACATAAACCCATTCCTCCAACTTGATTTCTCAAGGATACACGAGTATTGACATGACAACCTTGATCAAGGAAGCCCATCTTCTTTAATAAAATGTCTGATAACGAGTTGGCAGACGAAATCAACGAGGTATTAAGAAAGAAAATGGTATCGCGGTGAACATACATGTATAAGTGCATGAACAAATTAGAAGTTTCCAGGGTACCTTATAAAACAGTTTTCTGACGATACAAATACTTGGAATACTTCAAGGAAGACTTAAAGATCTTCTGTTTATAGTTATACCAGCTTCTTTTTTCTTGTACTTGATTGGTTATTTCTTCATCACTTGGGAACGTCATCATCTATCAAAATAAATATCAATTCATGAAACCTCACAATAAATATTTCCCTTTTCATGAAAACTAATCAATATGAAAATCAAGTCATGAAACCCTCATCAATGTGAATATTATGTCATAGACACCCTTATCAATACGAGAATCAAGTCACGAAACCTTATGAAAAACAAGCCATTCAATATGAATAGTTGGTCACGAAACCCTTATCAATTTTAACACCGAGTCATGAAACCCTTTCTCAAACAATACCAAATCATGAAACACGTATCAATATGAAGAAACTGTCATCAATATGGATAGTGAGTCATGAAACGGTTATCAACATAAATAGTGAGTCATGAAACGGTTATCAACATAAATAGTGAGTCATGAAACGGTTATCAACATAAATAGTGAGTCATGTAGTCACGTATGTCTCTGTGTATTCTATTTCTATCATAATATCTTTTTATAGCTTTTGTCCATGTCAAGGGAAATTTTGTTACCTACCATATCATTGACAATACTGAGGACCTTGATATTAGCTTCTTCTAGAAATAATCTTTTAGATACAAATATACATTCGACACCATCACTTATAATCTTCAGACCTTTTCTTCCTCCATTTACAATACTCTCTAAACCCTAAAAATAAAGCATTATTTCAATACACTGCAGATTCATTGCAGAACGACCACTTAACCCCGCGTTGATCACAGGAGGTATTGTAAACACAATTATCGAATCTGTTACATTGAGAAACCATGTCAGATTTGCTACACCAAATAGCTTGAAGACAGGGCGACTTGAATGTCGCTTTAAAGGCCAAAAAGACAGCTGCGTCAGTTTTGGTGGTTGATTCGAAAATATGTAAATAATCTTCAGAAATCCTAGAAATTTACGAAAATCGCATAATTCCTTTCAAAAATATCTCAAACTAGGAATTTTACTCACTATTTCTATTATGTCTTTTCTATATATCATAGAGTATCTTAAGATGACGCATTTGTGTGTAAAGTCGCTTAAGGCGCCTGCTAACCATTATATTTTGTGTTTGAACCTTTTAAATACTAACTTAGGCACATTTTTTTCAATATTTTTTTCGAGGATTGGGGCCTCCTAAAGGGTGTGTGCCCGTGGACTTGATTCAACCCGTTCCAATGGGAATTGAGCCACTGAAGGAAGGGACAATGCTCAGCTCAGAGATGTAGCAGACCTATTTTCTGAAAGCGGATTAGTCGTGCGTGTTTTTCGTCCACAGTACTCTTGCCGATATAGAATGTGTAGGAAGAGACCAGCAGGTTAATTTTGAGTTAACATACTCACAAAAACTGATCCCGATGTTAATTCTGCTAGTTGGGCATAGATTCCATAATCTGTACTCTCTTTCACCTAGAATGATATGATTTAAAAGTTAGCAAAATGTCACATCTATCTTCTATCATATCCATTCTATCATATCAATCCCTAGGCCTCATCAAATTTACTGCACTGACTTCACCCATGCCTTCAACGCTTTTGGGAATATGCAGGCCTATATACTAATTAAATATTTACGTAAATAAATAAACCATGTGCTAAAAATTCGAACCGCAAAATGAAACCCAAAAATCCAAAACAACATATTTCCGAAATATAGGTAGCAGCTAATGAACTGTTATACGAGGAAGTATTTCAATCATAAATAAGTATTTCATAATGAAAAGTGGTATCAGGTGCCTAGTAGAGTAATCATACCCTTCCTGGCGCCCCACACATCATTGCTGCTCAACATACACAACAACGCGACTAACAGGTAGTAACACTTACCACAGATTTCCGTAGTCTTTGAGAAACAGCAGCTGAAGAGAAAAGGCATGAAATATAAAGTTAGAGGGATTTATAGTCGTACAATTACTTGAAATCAGTCTAAAATTGTGGAATCTCATACATGCGTACGACAATGTTAAAAAGTGAAAACTGACTGGAAGTTGACTTGAACTGGTAAAAGGTCTACATTTAGATTTTACCTTTTTTCAGCAATCTATTATAATGTGATATCTGTAATTTATCTTCAACTTTTCTTACTAGATCTTCTCCTTTTTTACCATCTGATAACTAAAATTATATTTTTACCATTTTATTTTTTTATGGTATTCTGCCCTTTAAGATCGCTTAATCATACAGACAGATTTGGCCGGATATCATATTCAGTTTGTACGAATTGATTCCGAGATGCTGCAAGATCAGTTATTGCCCTAATGGAATATGGTTGTGCTGACTGAATTTCTAGATAACGCAACATACGCCTCCTTTGAGATCGAAAGATGCGCTATCATAAACCTTAACCTTGATATGAATACTGCCGCTGTCATCATCATCATCATCTTCATCTTCGCCATCTTCTTCAATTAAGTCTGGATAAAATGTTTTACTCTTTAACAAATGTTGGTGAAGATTGGGCACAGAGCCCGAACGTCTTTGTTTCTGAAATTAAAATTAAATTGCTAAAAAATAATATATTAAAGATTAATATCTAAAATAGTTTATTGGTAACTATATGTATATAGTCACTCTGAAAAGTGATACGCATTATGCGCACATATAAACAATAATACCATTAGTAAAACTTTTACATCTTTGAGCACTGTATACTTTTTCACAAGAGTTAGTTTCTTTTTCTCCCATTGGTGCCGTGGCGACACCAGAATCTCGAGATCGGGGATACAAAAAGGGACAGTCTGACTTAATGACGGGACAATTTTCGAGGTGGAGATACAGCAGCTCTGTGGAAACGTATGAAAGCACATACGCCTATGAGGGTATCCCCCACTAATTTTGAATATTGTATTTTAGGAACTTTCTGACGCATAATTCTTAGAGCGCCATGGTACAAAAATCATAGAGATAGCTTGCCAGGCAAGGTAACATACGCCCACTGGCAGCTGTCAGAAATGATAAAACAGTCTTCAGTGACTAAAGTATGAATTTTCTCATATTAAAGAAATTTTAATAGTTTGAATTCAATGATATATATATCTACTGCCAGTAATTTATACTGAGAAATTCCACAAAATTTTTAAAAATCAATATCAATAACCCAAATACATCAAATTATCGCATCAATATACATGATCACACCTTGTTTCATTTAAATCAATTGAAAACTGTAGTCTCTAATGTGTTCACAAACAAATTTTGACGCGTTTTTCCTAAGTCAAGGGCAATAACTCAAAGACCGTTCATCGAAATATCATCAAATTTGAACTTGAACAAGATCTCATCAATATAAATGATCATACGAAATTTCATTAAAATCAGTTGAAAACTGTAGTCTCTATTGTGTTCACAAGCAAATTTTGACGCATTTTTCCTAAGTCACGGGCAATAACTCAAAAACCGTTTATCGAAAGATCGTCAAATTCAATCTTGTCCTAGATCTCATCAATATAAATAATCACACCAAATTTCATTAAAATCAGTTAAAAAATGTCTCTATTGTGTTCACAAACAAATTTTGACGCGTTTTTTCTAAGTCAAGGGCAATAACTCAAAAACCGTTCATGAAAAGATCGTCAAATTTGAACTTGACCAAGATCTCATCAATATAAATGATCACACCAAATTTCATTAAAATCAGTTGAAAACTGTAGTCTCTATTGTGTTCACAAGACGGACCGACAGACAGGGGCGACGGCAATATACGTCCACATTTCCATGTTGGCGTATAAAAATCACTGAATTGACACGTTTTGGATAATACGGTGATATTATACCTGTTGAAAAGTTGTATCTTTAGTAACAGAGCTACTCCTAGCTCTCTTGATTGGTGGTAATTTCTGAGTTAAAACTTCTATATCTCCTCTAGTTTTAAAACTGTTCTTTTTATTTGACCCTGGATAACATAATGGTCAGCATAACCATATAACACTCCTGTTTTACTTTTACAAAGGAGATTTGTTTACTATAGAAATAATGGCATTGTTGCTGCATTAAGACTCACGTTATCCAGTCTCATGATGGATGGAATTGCTCTTATGCGAAAATGTGCTGAAATGACTTACTTGTAATATTTGAAGAAATATCACCATTCTTATCTACTTCTATACAACTCACTAATCTACATTTACCCTGAATTATAAATTAATTATAATCTAGTTCACAACAGTATGGCAGTAAGATTGAGCTCTGCATAACCCACATCTTCACAATATCATACCTTGACTGCAATAACCACCTTTCTTTTTTACGCATGCTGTGATTTGATTAGATTGTACGTCAGTAAATACAAACCAATCAGAGCCCACAACAGAAAGACTATAAACACTTTCTGTCGGTACTCGGATACGTACATTCACTAACGTACAATCCAATCAATTCGATGCAGTTACAAACTTGACCATTGTGAAGATGCCACTCAGAATAGTCGTTCTAAATATCATTATTTGAAAGGGATTGTATGTACTTATATGCTTCTGCTTGCACAGTTCTGTCAGAAAACTGTAGTTCCTGTTATTCCAGAAAAGTTGACTTACTGTCATAATGACAATCAAATATTTAAAATCCCCAGCTTCACTTGTAATAACAGAATCTTTTCTGAAATTCAAAATATATGAAATTAAGCGGACATCAGATTTTGGCCTCTGTAATCCCCCAGACGTAAGGGGTTTTTGTCTCCCCCACCCCCCCTCCAGCTCCTGCTTGCATAACATTATGATCAGATCATGGTTATAGTATGCGGAGTAGTCCTCAAAAATAGTTCAAAATACATGTATTTCAGATTGTAATATCTTTTATGAATTATTTCTCTTTATAAGCTTATAGAACATAATTTCAAAAACTAATCATAAAATATATCATACTCACGGAAAGTATTGGTAAAAAAATTCATTTGGATGAGATGAGAAGATTTCACAAGGGAAATGTTGAAATAAGTTTATGTTTCTGAAAAAAAAAAAAACGATTCAAGCGATATTTTCTGGTTTCTGTAGTTTTTGAGTTCATGTCCACAAACTGTATCGCATTAAGCTGAAAATTACAGTAGAGGGTATAGCTATATCGATGCAGAAAATGCTTCTTCAAAATCACCTGCTGCCATTCTGTAACTGGGTTTGTTGTCATATGAGCAGTTTTCATTATTTGGTATATTTATTGATCCCCAAGCATGGTCAGATGTGCCATAATAAGACTGATAGAGCAATCTCTGGGTTCAAAGCTTAAGTTGTCGCTTTACCATTTCGAGATATTGCAGACAAGTCGAAAAAAAACCACAAATAACTTCTAGTACTTACCGACAAAAATCGATATGTTCCTGTTTTTGTTTCATCAAAGGTTGGCGTATTAACCTGTCAAAATCATCTTGTAATATCAGTAATAACTGACAGTCAGTTTTACAGATAACACTAGCAGTTCTATTACATCTTTCTAATAGTCCAACCTCCTGTGTAGAAAGAAAAACATAAAGAGTTGGTAACGTATGGTAAAAATGCATAGCGAATTATCTCCCTTGATCCTAACTTTCCCGCTCTTTATGAACTCATTTTCTTGGTTTTGACCACTTCCAATTGTTTTGGACATAAATAAGGGAACATTTCTAAGGCGTCCTCCCCTTTCTACTTTAAAGAATGTCTTGGAGTTCATACAAACAAATTACTAGCTAGCCTATCGTATTCGATTAGGTAACAGAAACATCTAAATACATATAGTTGAGAAAAAGGGAGGTCGTCATCTTCTCATATACGATTGGGGCATTCCTACCTTTTGCACTTACAGCATATTACGTAGTATTTTCATTCGGACCATAAGTGAAATCAACAGTGGCATAGCCAGGATTTCATTGACATGGGAGGGGGGGGGGGGGCATCCGAGCACCTCGGCTTCCCTTTTGGATTTAAGAGGGTTCTAGTGGCGATGGGGCATCATGGCACAATGCACCCCCTCTAAATACGCCTCTGGAAATTAAGTTCTATATCATGACATTATATAACAAGACGAGTGTATCCGATCTGTTATAGATTAATACTTACACCAAAGCAGTCGCCATCCCGCAATTCGGCACAGGATCTGTAAAATGTTTTACCAGTATGTAAGTTAGTTTCTGTGACATTAATCAATAAGGTACCAGATTTAATGATATAAAATGATGAAGCTGGCTGTCCCTGTTTTACAACAATACGACGAGATTCATAGCTGTAAGTATAGAAATTTGAAAAATAGTCAAAAGTGAACGTTCAGGAGTATATTTATACCAAATCTTGAAGGGGATAGGATAGTCTTATTTTCCCCTTCATCATATAACCATTTTCCGGCAAATGACTTCGAAAGGTATGATTTTATTAACTATATATTGTATAAAATTCGGTTTTCGAAAAGCGATACAGAACAGTCTACGGATAGTTGAGAATGGGCCCTTTCAGGTATACCAGTCAATATTGACCCTATATTTTCCTCCAAATTTGTACAAACAGGTTTGTAAACTTTTTTACAAAATTGAATTCTTGGATAGTTTTTTAATCCCAAAATTCCCCTACTTACGTTTGTAGAATCATACATTTACATAATTCTATTTGAGTATATGGTGGATAATCTTTAAAACATCGGATGTTTCTTAGAAAAGTTAAGATCTGAAACGAAACAGAGTCATAAAAGTAAGTCACATCTCAAAATTCATTTAGAATTTTAGATTATATCTACAACAACGAACCAAGTCACTCCAAAAGCCCAGGTCAAACGTAAAGCACAATCTGAAAGGCGTTCTATCTTGAGACAGTATTGTACAGTGAGTTTGCAAAGACAGTTTAGCAACTGCTCGGCTCAATTGTTAGATTAAATCGACCTGAGAGCACCACCAGAGGTACCACTTGTTGCCATGCTCTACATTCTAGAAAGAAATAGCGAATTTTGACCATCGAGTTGTTTGTAGTTGCTTATAGCAGAATCTCAGAATTATCCATCGAGCAGAGCCCACTTTATAAAGTAACGTTTCCTTACCAGAAGAATATCTGAAGGTGTTCTTAAAGTTGGTAAGATAGTTAGAGCTCTTCTTAACTTCTCACTAATTTGTTGTATCTACAATATACAGTATATTAACTTGACAGGGACTTATGTCAAAGAAAAAACGATTGGAACTAATCGACAAAGAACAAACGAGTGAAACTAATCGTCAACGAAAAAACGATTGAAACTAATCGTCAAAGAAAAAACGATTGGAACTAATCGACAAATAACAAACGAGTGAAACTAATCGTCAAAGAAAAAACGATTGAAACTAATCGTCAAAGACACAACGATTGGAACTAATCGACAAAGAACAAACGAGTGAAACTAATCGACAAAGAAAAAACGATTGAAACTAATCGTCAAAGACAAAACGATTGGAACATCGTCAAAGGAAAAACGCTTGGAACTAATCGACAAAGAACAAACGAGTGGAACTAATCGTCAAATAAAAAACGATTGGAACTAATCGTCAAAGAAAAACGATTGGAACTAATCGTCAAAGATTCAAACTTCACGACTCAACTTAACAGGAGAAAAAATGGCTTGGGCGGATTGTTATCGTCTAAAGATTAAAGTACTGGTTGAACTGACTTACTGGTTGATCGTAAATAAAGTTGTAAGGATTAAAAACAAGGATATCTTTCATGTCTTTCTTTACATGTAAATACATCTCTATAAACGACCATTCACTGCTTTCTTTTCTCTTGATATACCTATAGCCAAATTAAACATACACTGAAATAATTTTCTTTGATAAAACAGCTTTTGAACCTCTTTGAAATATATACATGCTTTAAATAACATTACAGGGATATGGGCCGTTCAATTATTCGCACCATTCTCTCATTTTCAGATATACGTATCATTTTTCAAAATCAAAATTCGTCGGAAGTGACATCAGGTTAAATTTCCTCATAGTTATTTTGGGACATTCGTTTTCAAGAACAGATAAATCGCGTCCTTATTAATAATAATAATTATGACTTCACATATAAATAAGTATTAGATGTGCTTGTTTTGAATTCAAAAGTGATGTATCTGGAATGAAGTTATATGTATTGGGTGTTATAGAATATACTCCCCTTTAATTATAAGAACTAACCTCAGTCTCAAATAGCTACCGTGGATCTGAAAATTCAATTGGAATACTGTTTACTTAAAAGTGTGTCCTTAAAGCCTGTCGCAGACGAGAGGAACTAGCTGCAGCTGCCTGCCTCAAGAGTTTGGGAGCTGTTGAACTGTTTCCCCCGTGTGCGCTGAATTTTTACTGAGATTTCTACCTCGAGAGGCTGTGAGGAAAATATCTATCTTGTTTGATATTTTCTGCCTTCAAGAGGCAAGAAATTCACCGTGTGTGGGTGTCTTAGCTGCCAACTGAAAAAGTAGTCAACCAATAGAATCGCGTTGACGGATCACGTGGTATTATTAAGGTATCCATGAATGATGCAATTTTAGAAGATTAACTTGCTGAACATGGCAAGACTATCCGTGTCTATAAGCTGTTTTTTCTGTAGTCTTCCAAAACAGGAAAATGAGGCCATTTGATCACTTACGCGACACGGATGAAGTCCGAACGTTCTTCGGATGTTTTCGTTGACGTACGGATTCTAGATTTTCTAGTGAGACAATAGCTCAGACAGCTCTCGTCTGCGGTGAAAAAAGTATTGAGAATGTTGCTCAGCTGACAGCCTCTCGAGGCAGACAGTTCAGCTAGTTCGTCTCGTTTGTGGCAGGCTTAATATTAATGAAAATTGTACTAACTCTTTGAGCGCCAAGCAAACTGAGGTTATAATTCGCACAGTTTTGGAGATTCGTTTAAATGTTTCGTATGGCTGTAATAAAAAATACACCAAAAGCATTATTAGAATTGTGGGCTCTCAAAAAAGGATAATGAGAAATCCGAGGCAGCATTACTCATTGTAGTGGAGCTCAATCTCAAGAAAGATATATTAGTAAAACCAGAGAGGTTTAATGAATGACTTCGGGGAAAGTTTTGTCTTGTCACCTGCAAAGTCACTGCGTATTGGTGTAATGTGGTTTCAATGCTCGTGTTTTGGAACCCGAAGAAAGTCCCGGATTTCGCCAGAACCTATTTTAGAACATTTTTGTGTCGTACGGGTTTGTACTTTGTAATTTGGAGATCAAATTAATGATTCATTTCGAATGATACTTACCGATTCGCCATATTCTTTTATATAGTTCCTTAATAAAACTTGTTGGTGACTTTCACTCAACATTTTCAATTCCCCTTTTTTCCGTGGACTTTCCGATTTCAGTTTACTTTCTCTTTTCTTATTCAGTAAATAGATAGGCTGACGACTAGTCCAGTCTCCAAACTGTCTGTGTAATATTCTAAGATGGGTCTCGTCTCCGTTTCTTGTTAAACAAGCACCTAGACTGGCTGGGAATTTAGGCGGTCTCTGATCTGGGAGTAACGGTAGGGGTCTGTCGTCCGCCATAACAGGATGCTCTTCCAAATCTTATGAATAACAATAATTCATCAAAAAATTTGACAGTTTGGCTTTGCTGTAAAACTAAAAGAAAATGTCAAAAAATTTCAAAATCGAGAGCAAAATGCTCTAAAAACCGATAAAAAAAATAAGATTCAAGAAATTGTGAGCGCTTACTACAGCGTTATCCCGGGGCAAATGAATATATATATACACAAAAGAATATTTTCTCACCTTACGTCCAACTGCTTTATAAGAAACGAGCCTTTCGGTTATAGATATGGCTAAATACCTTTCAACAAGAAAAATATTGCATGTTCTTTTCAATTCAAATTAAAGCTACATTGGCAAGAAGTCGTCGTGTATATAAAAAGCCTATAAACAATCGTATTCAGTGCATGGCGACTGTAGAACTTTGGATTGGGAGAGAAAAACCCGCCCACCCCGACCAAATTTTCTTTAATAAAGGGCTTGAATCCAGAGATCCATTTCAGAGGTTTTCTTCCTCTATCAAGTGAATAAAATGACCTCTCTTTCTTCCCTCTTCCATTGCCTTTCACCCTTTTTACATCCGTTTAGGGGGCTTTCGAAAAGAGTTGCCAAGGAAGAAAACAACAGATAGCAATTAAGAACTAAATCATGAGAAATTTGAAACTGGAGACCCAAATCGAGACATTGTGAGTTTAAGGAAAGAGATAAGTAAAGGTATATTAATATAATTTCTAAAAGATTGATCTTATTGATATAGTCAAGTGTTATTTTATACTGCTTCATATTGTCAATATATACTTTCACTCTACACCTGATTCAAAATTAACATAGAATACAGAAAAGAAAAACGATCATAATATACTCTCGCTTTAATAAGCTTTTATGTCAATATTTTCTGTGGAGCGGTAAAGTGGATTTAAAGCGACACTAAAAGTCCACCTAATGATCAAACGAGTAGCCTATTTTCGATTTGTTTTCATTTTTTTTCAAGATTTGCTTGGGAAGAAAGTAGACTTATTTAGTGAACTGTTTTGGAGCTACGGCAAATATCAAGGTTTGTTTAAAAAGCTTTGACGATTTTTAAGTGAAACAGTCGTGCCAATGATAATTTTTAGGTATAGGCTCTATAGAATGAAAATAGGTTCGTTAACAATTAAAACTAAGCCTATGGGAGTAAGTCATTCTTGAAGTCATCGATTACTTAATATCATCAATACAAGATCTAGAGAATGTTATTGGCGTTCTGGAAACTTCTGGAGACGGTCGCCATATCCGGGGAAGTATCGCTTATGCAACTTAAGACGAAATGGAGACCGTATTTCGTACTTTAAGGTGATACATTATGATGGAATTGAAATCCATCTGCCGGAAAGGCGAATATATTTACATTGACGAATAGCGAATAGCGTACATCGCAGTAGTCTCATTTTCATTTTCACCACTTGATAAATTTCATTCCAGCCACCGGTGTCACTAAATTCCTTTTCAACGATGAACCATAGACTGTTTAGAACTCTGTGGACAAGACTTAATATTCTTGACTAAAGGGAGACAATATATCAAATCAATCAGACCAATATTAACTGATCATTATATAGTATCGATAACACCTACATCTCATTGTTCACGATAGATTTGAATGGTTGACCATATCCATTATATTCATGATTACATTATATTCACTGTATAAGATCTACGAAGCTCCTTTTGGCTTAAAAGGCAGACATACTTGAATCATATCCCACTCAGACAATATACTAATGCTAACAATTACTAGGTAAAAAGCATGATGATAGGAGTGTGGTTTGAACATTGTAAATCTTTTTGTAGTAAGCATGATTATTCCAATTTGAAAGCCAGTTGGTTTTTGGAAGTTTTGGACTAATACTAAAGCCATGCACATAAAAAAAAGAAAAATAATCAATCTTTATAGAATACTTTATTTTATTTACATAATTTCACTCTGCGAAATAACTCCAGTGAAATTTGAATGCAAATAGAAAAGGATTATGTTTAACCATAGACAGATGGACAAAGAACAATTTGATAACATAACGAGAGATAAACTATTCTCATTAGGTGATCTTATACACAATGAACACAAAGACATCACAATTTCTAGAAATGAATGCACACATTTACAAAACAGTTTTTTTTAAGTAGTAGACTCTAAGGTCTAACAATGATATAACTGCTGCATCACTCTACAAATCACAATTAAATAGAAATCACTTTGGTCACTTGAATTTCTTTCTTCAGACAGAAAGTTTCAATTTCACAGTCTCTTTTAAAGTGTATAAAATTGTACGTATATATACATATTTGAGATTGATGTGGGTCATTCAATATCCATGCAAAAATCACTCCATTAGAATAAATACATCCAGGCTACTAGCACATAGTTTCTGGTTAACACATTTAGAGATCACATAAAAAACAGACACAGATAGTTTTCTCCTTTTCTGAGATTAAAGTATAAAAATATCTTTTTTTCTTACAAAAAAGATCACACAACATAACTTAAGGAAAAAAAAACGAGAGAACATGAAGGAATACAGATGGAAGTATAGAAACTGAAGTACTGTACAATAGATATTGTGATACGGTGTATAATTTTAACTGTGTTCATTTGTCCATGGTCAATTCTCACAAAAAAATGTCAATAACTTAGTTCCAACTTACAAAGAAGTTGTCAAAATGATAAAAAAAAATTCCTGGTAATATTAAAACACGTAGCAATGTCATTCTCAATAATTCACAATTTGTTCTGGAAAAATGAAAAACAAAACTATGGACAAAATACAAAGAGGATGAATTTCTATTTAACGACTATGGTACATAAGTTAATTTGCATGTATTTATATATTTATAATATATATATATGTATATAATAATAATAATAATAATATAATATTTATAACGCACCATTAAATTAAGTTTGTACTATAATGAATCAACAAAGCGGTTTAATTTCTCCGAATTAATATCGGTATCCGGGGCAGGACTTTGTAACTGGGACATGTTCGGATGCTGGGGCATGTTTGGATGCTGACCTTGAAGTTGGGGAAGCATGACTTGATCAGGTTTCATTTGATTAGGATCACCCATAGAATGTGCTCCTACAACTGGATGGGGTGACTGATTTGGAGGTATGTGATGGGGTGATTGTTGAAGTTGACGGGGTGATGGTGCTAGATGCTGACGGGGTGATGGAGTGGGTTGAGGAGATCGAACAGTCTGTGGTAATGACACATTGCCCTGTGGCGAAGGCGACATCATATGATCGTTCTGTCGCATCTGAACTTGATGCACTGATGTTTGAGGAGAACGCACTTGTTGCATAATATGCTGAGGTGACGGATTTGCCTGTTGAGCCATCATATGCTGTGGACTGAGAGGCTTTCCACCAGTGATCACATGCTGTTTTAATTGCACAGATGTTTGAGGTGATCTCATCTGCTGCATGAGTTGCTGTTGGTTAGGATTATTCTGCTGTCCCATCATATGTTGTGGACTCATTGGTTTTCCACCACCTTGTAGATGTTTGAATTGAGAATGCTGCATCATTTGTTGCTGTTGCTGAAACTGATGCATATGCTGGGGATTATCATTTGGGAAGTTCTGTCCAGCAAAAGCCATCCTCTGTCTTTGTCCTTGAAAATTCTGCATTTGGTTTTGAGGCTGAAAATGATTCATGTGTGGTTGTTGATGTTGAGGATGCTGCTGTTGATGCTGGGCTTGTTGTTGCTGTTGATGCTGGGCTTGCTGGCGTCTCATTTGAAGTATTTGCATCTGTTGTGGTGTCAGCTGCTGCATTTGAGGAACTCCCATACCGCCCATTTGTTGTTGCTGTTGTTGTTGCTGCTGCTGCTGCTGCTGTTGTTGTTGTTGTTGCTGCATCTGATTTTGCTTTTGATATTTCATTTTCAAAACAGATGCCATGAGTTCTGGATTCTGTTTCAACATCGATAATACTCTTTCTTCAGTTTTGGGTGTATTCTGATGTTTAAGTGCATTAAGTAACTGTTGCACTGACGCATTTGGCATTTGACCAGGGTTTCTTGGCGGGACATTCATAGCTACACTGCCCATTCCACCTGGTCCAGGATTCTGTTGTTGGTTTGGAGACTGCATAGGCATTCTAATAGGTTGATTCACAGGCATCCTAGGTTGATTTATTTGTTGATTGGGATATGCAGGTGGAGCACTTTGACCCCATTGCGGTCTCTGAACAGGTGGATGTTGCATGGTATTAGGAGGCATTGTATTCACCACAGTAGGACTAGGGACCATCTTTTGAGCTGGTTGAGGCTGCTGTTGTTGTTGCATACTAACTGGCTTGCCACCAATATTCATTGGGCCTGACACTAAATTACGCTGTGCTATGGCAGCATTTTGAGCTTCTTGGGCTGCCTTCATTGCTCCAGCTGGTGGTGTACCCTGGGGTTTGCCATCATTTCCCAAATGTTGAGGTCCTGGTAAGGCTGGTGGTGCACTTGCCTGCATAGAACTTTGTCCTCCTGCTGATGTTGCAGTCATGATAGCCATACGACGTCTCAGTAACTGAGCTTGTTGAAGTCTCTGTTGTAACTGCTGATGACGCAACTTGTGTTTCAAATGAGTACAGAAGGGAACTTGGCACTTTCCTTCATTACAATGTTTTGCATGATAACAACACAATGCTATTAATTGTTTACAGATTGGACAACCACCATTAGTTTTACGTTTACATGTTTTTGTATGGTGAACAATACGTTTCATTTTCGTACAACTAGGAAGTCTGCAATTAGCGTCTCTACACTGACATGCATGCACCAAAGACTGAATACACCTTTGAATAGATTGACGACGAGATTCCTGAGGATTTTCTTGTTTTTCTCCACTATATGAGCCGTCATCCAGATCAAAACCAAGTTTGTCCATTCTATGAGGATGAGTAACTTTCTTGTAACAATTAACGCACAAATCAAAGTCCTGAAAAGAGAAAGGAGAAAAAGGTAATATTAACTTCAGTAGCTTCATTATTTTAGGGATTTTTATTTTTTTTCTAGGTTATTTCTTTTCCTTCATTCAACAGATTTCTTATCTAAAATCTGTAACTGACACATCATCTCAATGGAAGATTAAATGACTAGATAAGGAAGTCTAAAGGAAGTCAAAATGAATTCCAACACAATATTCAGGAAGTGTAGTGTGAATTTATATGCATCAAATGCAAATGAAGTTTTAAAATGGTTGCTTACCTCACAAACGGAACAATGATATCTGGTTTCCACATGATTTTTACATTCATTACATGTATAACAGAAGGCATCTTTTCCTTGATTATGCAGTTCGTATAACATTGCCAAGGTTGAATATTTCGCTCTACGAAAGGAAGAGAATTCGTAATGTTTTTCACGAGCAAGCGTTAAAAATGAGTCTCTACCATCCATTAGTTCACAACTACACAAAGGGTCTAAATCACGAATTTGTGGCATGCCTGGAGGGTTTTGTTGAGGATGTAATCGTATCACAAAAAATACCTGAAAAAAAAAATATTCAAATCAATTATTAGGTGGATGCATGTTCAAAAATCCTGCTGATTGAAATGATCTTGATCCTTAGTATAAGATAGCATCAACTCAATCTTAATCTAAGATATCCCCATGGCCATTCAATTAATTGCCTTCAAGGTCTTGAATCCATGTCCACAAAGTAAATTTTTTAAGAGAAACCTGGTTTACGTCTTTTGTCAAGGATAGTCAGACTTCAAAATAATTACATATTTTGTGAAAGTCTGCCATATAAACTTACCTCTTTGTGTTTTTCCATAGTTTGATATAATTTGTTAGTGAGATCGTTGCTGCCCTGTGGCACGTTGGATTTCTTGGCCACTTTCCTCTGATTATTTTTACTTTTGTATGCTTTCTTATTGCGGCCTTTCTTTTCACCCTTTTTAGTTCCATCCTGAAATGTTGCACACAAATTTAATCTTTTTAAAAATAGCCTCTCCCCAAATGATGATAGGGTGATGTCAGAAGATATTTTTACAAATTTCAATAATGATGATCAAGAAAACTAAAGATATAGTGATTTAATCCAATCATATCCAAAGACTCAAAAAAGAATGTTTCTTCAATAATATTAGCTCATGTTAAAACTAACGCTGATTTTATTAGCTTATATTTAGAAATACGCCTAATGACCTTTATGAAAAATGGAAAAACATGAATTTACAAATTTAATCTTGAAAGGAAGATATGATTTTATAAAATAATTATCCTCCTGAAGCTGACATATATCCAATTTTTAAGTTATAAAGTTTCTAAGAGTTAAGTCACAAAATATGACAAAGTGAAGTTGCACTTACATTTGAGCCTTCAGCCTCATCATTACAATCTGCAGCTTCAGCTTCAGCAGCTGCAGCCTGAGCTTCTTCTCTTTTCTTCTTTTCTTCTTCTTCTTGATTTAATTCTTTAATACTTTCTTCAACAACATTAGGCCAGAAATCACCTTCAAAGTAGGCCATTTCTGTAGCACTTTGAAAATTGTTTTCTATTGCATCTTTTAAAATATCCTAGAAAAAAAATTAAGCATTGCATAGAGTAGGGTAGGCATTACCATTAAAATATATTATTGTTAGGTTATGTTTCAGCTTATATGTTTAAATGAATAAAGAATCCAACAAATAAAAAGGGTTCCACTAGAAATCATAGTCAAAGTCTGAGTCAATTTTTATGTGCAGCTCAGTAGAACAGAGACAACTTTCGTAAAGAACATGAGAGAACATGGAAAACAACTGCTTACAATATAATTATAACATTGACATACCTTATAATCTGTACAAACACGTTCAATAATAGCTTTATCTAACATTTTCTTGTACCAATCTTGTAATCGCTTTGGCTTTGGAATTTTTTGTTCGGGTGGATGGCAGTGGAAAATATAGTCATCCCCTTCACTAGGGGGACACGCCCAAATATGGGCCACAGTATATCCCATGTTTTTAGCATATTCTAAATATCCTATAAGAATTTCATGATACACAGCAGTCCTTAAATGTCTGGGTTGAAAGAAATGAACACTGTCCAAATATGATATGTAAACTCGTCTGAAAGATAAATTACATGGAATTACAAATATAGGCAAAGGGTAAAAATAATGAAAAATGAAGGAAATGCTTTGTTTGCTTTGAGCAGGAATTGGACAATTCAAAACAAAACTGTATAACCGGACTCTTATTGAAACAGTTGTAAATAGTTCATTGTCAAGAGCAATGAGACTTGTGCTGCTATAAAGCGATAGGTTCTCCATTTATGGGGTTGATTTGGGTCTTGAATAAGCTTATGTGTAAATAATCTCCAAGCCCTGTATTCTTGAAAAGATCTTAGCACTAGGACATCATAGGCTCTTAACTTCTAACACTGTTTTTGGGACGTCCTAGTGCTCAGATTGTTTTGAGAAAAGCTACTGGTTCAGAAGTACTAGAAATGTACACAAATGGATTTGAAGTCTCGAATTTTGACAGTGAGCTATGAATACTATGACTGATTAGCTTAACTAAAAAAATTCCGCTTCTGAGACTAAGATACGATTGGTCAAACATAGGGTAAACATTTCCCTTTATCATATTGATATTGACAAGTATTTGGTGATCAATCAGTCGGCCATTCCTATGAGAAGTTCTACAAAAGATTAAAAAGTATGTTGGTAAGGATGTACTGGTAAAAAACATACCTGGTATTTGGCATTTGACATTCAGAACCATATTCTTGAACATGCATACCGAAAAAACAGACATCTACACCATCAATTTCTTCAAAAGCAAACATAGCCTTTGATCGATATGGAAAACTATCTGGCACTTCATCAGGAAACCTAGAAACCAACCAAAATCGTTAATAGATATACCTTGAGTCAGTGTTCAAGCGGTATCGCATCCTAGTTTGTGAGTCAAAATGACCTTATTTGTAATTCAATATTTCCTATGATTAGCCTAAATCAAAATTTATCACAACGATCTGCAAATCAAATCAATATATTTCTTGTTAGAATAGAAATATATGGCAACTCTCGGAGGTCTGTATTTTCTTAAAGGAACAAACGTTATTGGCAAAATCAATCTGAACCAAATTTACTGAAATTCTACTTGGCTTCCACTTTTGAGTTTTTTCTATCAGAATATTCTTCATTAGCCATAAGACAAAATTAAACTTACTTTGATTTCATGCCAGGTTTGACTTCAACAATTTTATCTGAACTAGATAGCACTCTTATAGATACATCCCCTGCCCCGACATCTTTCTTCTTTAAATAATTATTCACACGATTTTCTAAGAAATTACCCATTTTTGTCGTAGGTAATTCTGAAAAAATAAGAAATTATTACCATTACTCTACAATAAACTGTCAAAGCCAAATTATATATTTTGGAATGCAGACATCATAATCTGGTTAAGTTTCTCTTGAAAACAAGGTACCACAGACAAGCAGATAGAAAGTAAGAAAGGTGCAAACAGGAGTTACATGTGATTCTGATACACATACAAAGATAGATTCTTTGGGGGGATTGATTTAAATCTTGAATACATGTGAATAGTTTTCAGAAGTAAATCAAAAATCGCATAATGCCTAAAAAATATCCTAAACTAGAAATTTCTTTCCTATTTCTATAGATGTTTTTTCTTTATATGGCAGTGTCTCAAGATATAATTTTGAATGTGAACTCTACAACTGATTGGCTTAGCTAAAATAATTGGTAAAAAAAGTGGAGAAACTGTCCCTTTGATCAATTTTTAATCTATTAATTTGCAGAATACTGAATACTTACTTTTTGCAGAAAAACGGTTTTCTTTTCGTTTCATACCCTTAGCTTTTAAACAATTATCACAAGTATAGCTGGAATAAATAAGAAAAAACATTGTTAATAACTTTATGCTTCTAGACTGTATAATTGCGTAACATCTCTTCAACAATAGGTTCAAGTATCATTTTGTAGGAAGTGAATACTGCATTTCCAATATGCTGACGTTTTATAAATAAATAATTTTGAGAAATAAGTGCTGATGCTATGTGACATGATATGTAAATGACAGATTCTAATAATACTTACGTTGGCCAGATAGGTTCAAACCACAATGCACAGATCACATGATGCTTTCTACCACATTCAATACAATTCACAAATCTACAAATATAAATCATTTTATAATCATAGGGATCATAATGTGTTTCTAATATAAAATCCTCATCAGGACAGCTAAAAAATAGTCTGAAATAGGGTACTCTCCAGTAGAATTTGATATTTAATGAACAAGAATTGTATTAGGTTGGGATGGCTTTGGGCTTTGTGTGGCTGATTAACTCCGAAAGGTGTAGTTTATTGGGCTGAACCTTTGGGCATAAATCAAGTCAAATAATTTCAAACAACACTTACTGTTCATAATCCATTTGATCATTTTTCTGAAGTGTAAACTGGTCCTTTTTAATTCTCCTGAAAAAAAAGCAAGACGTTAAATGTTACTGTTTATTTATGCATGAAGTTCCTAAAGCATGTTTTAAAATAATATAAATTAATGGATGGTAGAGGGATTTTTGTAAAGAGATGACACCAGGTAGGTTTACTGATAATCAAAGACTCATTTTAATCAAGTATAATAATTTCAATGTTTTGGAGATCCTAAGAGGTTGTAAACCTTTATACAAGCATGTTATGATAAGAGATGAAATATAGCAAATTACACAATTTGGACAAGTTAGTAAGTTGAAGTGAATGCAGATTTAGCTTATCAATGTGTATTACTGCATCTCTTTTATCTTTTCTAAATCAATATGAATACAAAATGGTTTAAGTTCAGAAGTATTCAAAAATATATTGAAAAACATGAACAAAACAATTGTATTTTCTTTACTGGTGAAAAAGAGTTGTATGTCATACTTTCCTATACATATTAGGGCTAAAAAGAAGGCAAATCATGCAGTATGCGATATGGACATTTTGTGACAACATGTAATAAAGGGCTATAGTTTATTGTATCATCCCAACTGCATCACTGACAGAGGTACATCTCAACTCACTGAGCCACCACAGCTCATCATTTAAGGTGAAAATAAGTATACTTACGTTGCAACTTGAGTTGGATCATCAGAAAGTTCCACTTCATCACCCTGTATTTCTTGAAAACATCTCTCACAAAACACATATCTGTCAGATAGAAGGCCCAATTTCCGTGAACTATTACAGTATGATTATATATATGAAGAGCATGCCCACAGCCAAATACACACACCACCAGATGAGATGAAGAGACGACACAAAAACAAAGGAAAACGAAAAAAAATAAGCATTAGGGAAAGCACCAAACCAAACAGAGAGCTACAAGCAAAATCAGTCCATAATATACATTAGTTTTGCATTATTTAAGAGTTTTGAAATTTACTGAGCCAAAAAAATTTCTAAGAAAGCTTGAATATTCTCCATTATTCCAAAACGAGGACAAAATTGGCATCGTTTTCTATTTCTGAAGAATAAGTTTTGAATCAAATAACCTTATATTTGTAATACTGATGAGAAAAACCTTATAAATATCTGAATATGTTCTTTCTTGTAAATTATAAGAAATTACTCTATATATTATAGACTGAAAGAGTACTATAAAATAAGTATAAAACAAAGCTAAATAAATAAGATACAGTTACATACAGATAAGCTTTGTGTGTATTTCGCCAAAGATACAAAGTATGAACTAATGAAGGACTGATGAACGCAATACTGGTATTTGTATGCCTCATACAGTTTTAATTACTCTTTAATCTACCTCAAAGGAAATAACCACAGAAATTCACAAAGATGTTTTTTAACCTCAAAGTGAGCATATTTAATTTTTAAAATGTACCGTATTGTGTTATATTCATGGTTTTTGCATCCATGTGTACATATATCTTTGACGGACTATTTGTTAATAATAATCTAAGCTAAGCGTAACTGCACTACAAGATAAAAAGATTGTAAGTGATTTCCTAATTTCTGTATGTGTATCAGGTACACTGATAGTATCAATTTGCACCATTCCAATTTTCAATCAGACGTCTGTGGTTCTGGCAATTCCACTAAAACTTTGTGTTTGATGACTTCACTAATCGTGAAGGAACTTACATGTTAAAGCATATTTTGTGAGTTATCAAACACTTAGTTTTAGTAAAATTGCAAGAACAACAGACTTCTGATTGAAAATTGGAATGGTGTAAATTGATGCTATCAGTGTCCCAGATACACACGAAAAATTTAGAAAACCTTTTTTACAATCTCTTTAGGCATATATGATAGCATAACTGTACAAAAAATAATGACACAAGACAAGCTACATATAAAACTAAGGTACATGCTAAAGAAATGAATTATATATATATATATATAAAATAAAGAATAAATGAATAATGATGAAGATACATAGAGTACAAGCAATAGGTACATTATGAGAAATACACAACAATTACAAGAAATGTGATGAAATATGAATGAATGCATCGTTCTATTTTTCTGCAGAAAATTTTGTTTTTTTCTTTAAATGAACGACTGAATTATCTTGCCTTCTTTATACATGAGATAAATTCAAAATGGAAACTATGTTCTCTATGCACACAAAAAGAAAAGAAAATTTGTACACAGTTTCATTTTTGTATAATTTGACATGTTTTTGACAATAGTCAAATTGAACTTGGGAGAAATTTATCACATTTGCATAGTAAAAAATTATAATATGTGAAGTCAATTAAAGTCCAGTAGCATTCTCTTATAAAATACAAACTAACTTACCTATTTTGATAACTACGGTACATAGAATCTCTAGGTATGGTACACAGTTGTTTACCATAGCAACATAAAACTTGGGGACTAAATGTATATTTATGACCACAACAATAGCCCAATGATTGCATGACACTATCAATTTCAGATTCAAATACTTCGGCAAGCTGAAATACATGAAAATATGTTGATAATGGTTCAGTTTTCCTACTTTGTCGGCCAATTTGGTACAAGTCAAATAGGCCTGACATCCTCCCAAGTGAGATGAAATTTCATTAGAAAACTATCACGAATAAGCTTAGCTTGTCAAAAGACTTAATACCTTGTCTACTTCCTGCAAAAATATAAGGGAAATAACCCTTTCTTAAAATAACAGAAAAGGTGGCACTTGATTGGCGAGTTTTGAACATGTTCTGTCCATTCTAATTCTGGCCTCAATCAATTTATACAGAATAGGATATTTCATAGTCAAAATTTCTAATTCTATACATTTCTCCACCATTTTGAATCATGTCAACACCTACTTTTACCTGTTCAAATTTGTTCTATTGAACTTTCTGTTTGAATCCATAAATCCCGATCGTGCAGGATTCACCAATTGAGAATGAACACGGGCACAGTAGACTTTTTTTTTTAAATACTTAAGTTTTTCCAGTTGGAGTTTTTCCAACAAAAAGTTTCTTAATGAAATTTAGTCTTGAATAAGATGTAAGTAACTTACCTTTGAGCAGAATTTATAGACACGAGAAGTTTTACGATTATACACCCAAGCATTTTCAAACATTAACCAAACATCATCCACATATTCCCAGGGATCATTGTACTGTCCTGTATCTAATTTACGTTTTATAGTTGATAGATCTATAGGTTTAGTTACAATATCATAGTAATCCTGTTAACAGAAAAAACATCAATATAACTTCACATTTCACAATTTCATTATTAAATGGAGATTCTATAGAAATGCTAGCCAAGGTTTCTTAACAGATCAAGATATCACAGTATCATAGTAACAATCTTCAGACAACTGACCTATTTTCAGCCTGCGTCCCTATTGAAGTTGTAGATCTGTTTTAATATTTTTATATCGAGAGTAAGAATGAAACACCTACCGGAATCTGTAATTGTACAGGATCTACTGGTTGTCTAAATGGAAGCGATTCAGGATCTTGTCTGTATAATTTCTCCAATGTTGGCATTAAAGCTTGCCGTAATTCATCAGGTTTAAAGACTGAAAAAACAGAATTGAATATTTTCAAAAGCCTCGATTCGACTGTATCTCAGAAACATGCCTTTTTTATAAAATAAATATAAACCTAAGGGACCTAAAGCATCCTCTATGATACTAATATTTCAAGCTTCAACTGAATCAAAGAGCCTACAATTATCTTAGATGCCATACTTACTCTTTTTTGATTTAGGTGCTGTTGGTACAGGTGTTGAAGGTGCCCCTTGAGACGAGTCTTCTGTGTCTGGTTTTGTATCCGCTTCAGCAACAGTTGTACCCTCACTGCCTCCTTCTGGTTTTGGTGTGACAGAAGGTGGAGCAGAAGTGGTATCCATAGCTTCAGAAGGTTCTGTTTTGACAACTCCTGGTTCATTTTTAATCTCAGTCTTGACACCAGTACCATTACTGACTGATGATGGAGGATCAGCGTTGGTTGTAGAAGACATATCTTTACTAGGTGATGACAATAAGGATGACAGACTATTAGAAGTGGGTTCAGTTTTAATTTCCTTCTTCACCTCCATTGCTTTATCAGCCTGGAAATAAAAATAGATATGGTTGTCAAAACCTAAGTCAAGAAGTGTAAAGTATGAGCAAAATGTAATTTTCTTGATAATGATACCAGATTGGTAAAACTCTCAAGCTTTGTCATTTCCTTCAGTCACCTTTTCTTTAATCATCAGATTAGCTGAGAAATATTTGACAGTTGACATACAGAAGATAATAAGCTAGACTTACATGATTGATGGAAGAAGAGGCTGTAGAGACAACTGGAGCAGGAGAAGTAGCTACTGGTAGTGTCTTACCAACAGATGTAGGTCCACCTTGTCCTAATTGAGTGCCATTAGGTACACTACCTGGACCCATCAATCCTCCAAGAGACTGATTCTGTTGCTTACCACTACCGGACTGCTGTTGCTGTTGTGACTGTTGTTGCGGCAGTCCAGTTGCTGATTGAGCAGAGGCTTGGTTCAACGAGTTGGATTGTACAGTGGATGTTGGTGTTTGGTTTTGTGGTGTCAAGATTTTACTCAGTGACTGATGTATTTGGGAAACTGAGCTCGGTGGTTGCCCACCTTGTCCTGTCTGTTGCATCAGTTGCTGAGATTGAGAATTATTTTGAAGTTGTTGGGATAAAGGTGGAGACATGAGTTGTTGGTTACCAGGCATTCTGGGTGCCATGGGATTCACTTGAGAACCTTGAAGAACTTGTTTTAATTGTGGATTATTGTCATTCTGTAGAGTATTTATATTCAACATGCCCCCGAGCTGAAAATAAAATTTCATTTAAAATAATTACTCAATTTTATGGCTTAATCAGATTATACAGAATTCCGTTATATAGTTATGACACCATGTAAGTCTATTGATGAATATATACTCTTATTGGCTAAATGGGGGAATTTAGTTCTTTTCGGGGGTAATATTCCTTAAATTGTTTAATTTCATTAACATCATTGGGTGATATACAATAGAAATAATCAAATACCTGATTTTGAGAGCCAGGTAGACCAGCATTTGGAACAGGCATACGCTGTTGTTGTTGTTGATGATTAAATAAATTATTAAGACCAGGAACTAAATTAGTTAGCCCTAAACTTTCAGCTGCATTAAATCCTGAAAGGGGGCCATCTGAAATAGACACATATAAATAATATTTTCATGGTTTAATGTTTGATGTTAACTTGCCATATCAAGATATGATCAAGAGTATAGTAGGCAAATAATGAAAATGATGCCAACTTGGACAAACCTTTCAGCAAACCAAAAATCAAAATCAAAATCAAATCCTGCTGAGTATAATAGTTTCAAATTTTCTAACAAACGACTTACTTTGCGGTGCATTAGCTCTCGGTTGAGGTACACCTGGAGGACCAGGTGGACCAGGTTGTCCACTACGTATTCTCTGTTGACGCTTTTCATCCAACTCCTTCTGAATTTTATAGATTTTCTCAGCTAAAAGATGATAGTATTCCTCCTACAAATCAAATATCATAATATATTACAAGTTTATATTTATATTTAGTGCAAAATGAACAACACCACATAAGCTGAATAAAATATTTTACAAAATACCTATCAATACTAAGCATCCTCAACACTAAGTAAGATAAAATGTGTAAATATTCAGAATGTGTATTAGCTCATTAGATTTAGAGAAACAAACTACAAAATCCAATGGTTCAAAAAATCCTGCCAAAAATTGGAGCTTCTTTTGTGACTTTCAATGTTGTTGAGCTAATGAAAATATATTGAATTTTGCCTTCTTACATAGATGAATAAGTTAATTACCAATGTACTAGTTCTAAAACTTTTCATGAATACAAATTCTAGATATGGGTCAACAAAAAGCATTGGCCATGGCACAAAAAAAAAGTTTTGTACATAAGCTGTGAATAATATAATAATAATACTTACTCGACTATTAGCTGTTTCATACATATCACCTTCAACTTTTCTAGCATAAGCCACCAGATTTTTCATTCTAGTATCTTTTAAAGCTGTTGGGTCTGGTGTAGGAAATATAGCTTGTACTCTGGAAGAGGAACCAAGATGTTTAAGTTTATGAAAGGGGAGAGGGATGGGGATTTGTCAAAATTTTGTACCAAAATTGTCTTACTACAACTTGTGAATGTAAATGCCAAATTAACACTAAAGAGCAATTTACTTACAATTTATGCACTAAATGATTTCTCAAGTCTTGCGTAACATCTTGATGCCAATCTTTAGTCATTTGTGACGTCATGGCAATATTTTGTAAAGCTTCTGATGATGCTGCAGTCATTGTGGGTGGTTGAGCCATACCACCTGGACCTATTATAGCTTGTAAAGCATTATTTTGATTTTGTTGATTCAAGGTAGTTGTAGCTGAAAAGACAAGAAATAAACAATATTAATTTGACAAATATACAGGTCTAAAATAATTTGAAGGGCATTCAATTCGACTTCTTTTGCCAGTCAAATAGAACATCAACGGATATTCATATATAAATGTGTATGCTTAAGAATGCTATAAAATAGAAAATAAAAATGTCATAATTATAAAATACATACCACTAGGGGGAACTGGGGGTTGTGGACGATTAGATAAACCTAGAGCATCAACTGCTCGTTTAAACGTTGTTTCACTAACATTACCACTACCTTGTGGTACAGCATTCAATGTACTAGGTGCTGTCATGTTAGTATTGGGAGCCATGTTTCCACCACCTACAACAGAAATTGACGTTAAACTCCATTCATTTTATTTCATTTTTACAGCAGAAATTAGGATATCAAAAAGTTAAAAAAAAATAGGAAAATATGTTCAGAAAAGACCTTAAATTCTTACTATTACACATCTCTTTTGTTCAAAACCTGGGCAAAGAGCATTTAATTGAAGGAACTGCTAAATCTTGCAGGACCTTTTTTTTGCAACCCAAAAAGACACTTATACTACTTACCAGCTGGATTTCTTCTATTATCTGAAGCATGTTTTAATGGTAAGCATACAGGACAATCATTTCTATGACAATTCTTCCAGTGAGTAATAATCTGGCGAGACGAGGCACAATGTGCAACTGAAAAATGAAATGAAAGGTTTGCAAAATATCCTTCATAGCAACATTATCATAACAAAATTCTACAACAATAAGCAATTAATATTCAGTGTTTTATATTTGGCAAAGAATCAAACAGTAGCAAGAACATTTCAATTTTTTGCTCATTGTTCAGATAAGCTTACATTTGTACAAATGAGATATCACAGTGGATTGGTTATAGGCCAAGCAGTTTTCAAATATGGATTTCACTTACTTTGACATGTTTTACCAGCCGTACAGGAAGTCATATGAGTCAAGACATTTTTCATTGTACGACAGTAAGGTAAAGCACAGGCTTGTTCACCATTTGCATTTTCTCTTCGTTGACATTTGTGAGCATGCAGCAAGAGCACTAATTGTTGCTGGATAAGTTTACTTTTATCAGGATCTGTAGAGCGACCAGGAGCACCAGGAGCTCCTTGTTGGGGCTGTCCAGTCTGAAAAATAGAAATCAGGGATTAAGGATTCAGTAAGAGTGTTAAAGAGTTGGTGTTCATTTTCTGAATACCATTGTTATAGCATTTGCACATAACATGCATGTCAGATATAAAGTAGCCATAAGCTGCTTACTTATAACAATTATTTGTGTGAATCGAATTGAGCTCCAACATTAAAATGTTTCCTGAAAATGGAAACTTTTTCTTTCCATGAGGGAGATTCAACTCCATTGCAACTCATTGCTTAGCAAACTCACAAACTTAAACAACGTTGAATTTTAGAATTATGAAATATCAAAAAATAATTATTCATCATAAACACAATGAAAGTTACAATGGTTAACTACAGCGAATAATGGAAACTAAACAGTAAGATTAAAACATCCTGTTAAATGGGTTAAAAATTACAAGAGCAAAATGCTTTAATAAGCCCTGAATTTGTTAACTATCTAAAAGAAGAGTTCCATGAAGCATTTCTAATGTTGGCAAAATAAAATTGCATAAAAAAAATGACAGCAAAATTTCAATCTTTGAAAATGATTTTTATATTGTTAATGTAAATGGATTGTTTGTAGCTATAAACAAATACACAAGTTAGCAAAGTTCACATTATTTGGACAAAATTTAGATTTTTTGTTAAAAGAACAGACTTTCTTTGTTAAAATGCTGAAATTTCTAAGCCACCATTCTATAGGACATCAAATGGATAATTCCAGTGTCTTCAGATGACAACAGAAACTTTTTGTTAAAGTGTTATAAGCTTATAAGTATACGGTCATTTTTATTTTTTCAAATATTTACCTTTTTTTGATTACTTAAATACATTTTGTAAAAAAAGTTCAATCCTTCAAAAATATATATTCCACCATAAATTTACCCAATAAGCATGTCAAATTTGAAAAATCTGTTCAAAAAATTGCAAAATTGTTTTCACCTCACAATGTGGCTCACATTAAGTCTTATTTTATAGAATCCATTCACTTTAAATTCTCAAACACATTTTGGAGTTAGAAATTCGTATCTTTTCATTTTTTCTCATCATCATCATGAACAAGAAGTCTGTACAGGCAGACACCACAGCCCTTGTTTTTGAGAGTGATAGAATATACTTACAGTAGAAATAGCACTAACCGGTAAATTGAGAGGAGGTGAAGCCATAGGTAAAGAAACTGAATTCAGTGAGTTTTGGAGCGGTGAACTAAATGTGACAGTGGACGAAGGAAGACCAGGGTGGGCCTGAGGATTAAAGTTGGTATAACCCACACCAGTCGTGCTGCCACTGAGTCCTGGTGGAAGAGGCCCCTACAATAGCCAAAGCCATAAATCTAATAAACTACCTAAAACAGGCCTAGAAATTAATTGGATGCACTGTACCTAAAAAATTTGGTAATATATTGGTTTCTGTCTGAAAATCTGCCATCCAATATTGAATTTCTAGATCTGTGTAAATACTACTAACTACATAAGGTGCAAAAAGCCATTTCTACATGTAAAATGTTGAAAAAGTCATCTATGTTGTACTACATAGGGGTATTATATATCAAATTGTTATAAAGATAAATTAAGATTATATATAAAAGCTATGATTGAAATTAAACTAATTGAATACATGCATGGAAAAACAAATTGTAAAGTTTCTTGAGTGTGCCTTCATTCGTTCATAGCCAAGGAAAAAATGAGGTGCATCAGATTTTTAATGAAAGCCATTTCAGCTTTTATAACTGTGTCGAATTGAGTGATTAACATCCTGGTTTTCTGGTCCTAATAGATCAGTCTATATTGATCAAAATTCTGCTGGGACACGCACAGACTTCTACAGCATAACAGATCTGGTTTTTTGGTCTTATTCAAACATGTCGACAATACACATTTTCAATGTCATATCTCAAATCTTATCATCGAAATAGAGAACACATTAAAAAATAAAAAGTTCTAGAAAAAATTTTGATACAAATCCCGAGATCAAAATTTGAAAAATATAATTTCAGTATTTACTGGGTCAGATCGACCTTAAAACATAAACTATGCTGATCTAAGAATCAAACCAAAAACCCATCCAGAATGAAGTCTTTCAGATATAAGCTTAAGCTTCTTTTAACAATCATTCAATAAAAATAAAATTTTAGCAAAACAAAAGCTATCTTGACAGCAACCCATTACAGATCAGCTAAGCATTTGAAATATAAAATCTTAATTTCTTTTTCACGCTAAAATAAAAGTAACAAGATAACCGGGTTAGTTGTTAAAAGAGAAAAGTTTGTGAGTTGAGAAAATACTAAGAGAAAAATAAAAGCACACTTGTTAGAAACTCTACAATTGAAGATGAGCCAAACTTAATCTATGGCAAGCACCTACCTTCATCTGCTGCTGAACTTGAACTTGGTTTGCATTCATTCCAGGATGACCAACATTCTGATGATTAGCATGCTGAGACATCACCATACCATTTCCTTGTGGCATACCCATATGATTGCTCATAGCAGACACAGGAATACCACTTCTATTCTGATTCACACCACCATATTGAGGTCCATTCATTAATTGATTAGAAAGATTTATATTGTTCATGCCACCCATCATTTGTTGTTGATTTGGTTTCATATTCATTGACCCAATTCCATTGCCGGCACCCATGTGTCCCATATTACTCTGAGAAACACTATAAACGTTGTTTCCTAGCATTCCTGAATCAGATACAATATGTTGTGGCGCTTTATTGAGTCCACCATGTGATGGAGAAGCAACACTAGAATGGGGACTTTTCACAGCATTCATGTAGGCATTGGTATTGTTCATTGCACCAGCCACACTCCGATTTTGTCCCATGTTATGAGGTTGACTAGGAATACTGTTGATTGAAGATGCTAGTTTATGAGTTTGTGATGGAGTAGAACTAGATAACAACTGTGACAGCTCTTGATGATTTTGTGGATTGTTATCCATGTTTGATCCATGTATGCTACTAGATGGTCCACTAAGCATATCACTTGCTGTTGATGTGCCTTGACCACCATTGTTCATCAATTCATCTGGTAAATCTCCAGCAATGGCTAACAAACTGTTCAGAGAAAAATCTGGAAAATAAATTTCAAATATTGTATAAAATTTTTACTTTGTGTTGATAACCGTCTTTTTATCTTGACTTAGATCAAGATCATCTGCCGGCACCAAAAAAATGAAGATCATTTTTTAAGAACAGTCATAATGTTATCAAAAAATAAAAAATATGACTGGAAGCCAGGAATAAAATATGGCATAATATCATAGTCTAACTTTTTGTTTGGTTTCCCTTTTATTTATTCCTAATCTGTTTCCTGCTTAGTTCTGCTAAAGATTCGATAATTTCTAGTGACAGTATGTAAGCTTATTGCAGTGCAAGACTGGTACCAGTCTCAGAAGATACCGGTACCATCATTTGAAGACCTTAGAGGGACAAGGATAAGTAGTCTACATGATCACACAAAGTGATATTTAGGAATCTTAGCAGGTCAGGTCATTGAGAACAAAACATTGAGCAAAGCAGTATTCGTACAAAGTCAAAATATTTTATATATCATGTCGCATTGCATCTTAAATCCACTCCTACCAAAATATACATCTCTTACATCATCTTCACTGATTCAAAAATCATTTCATCCAAATAAAATGAGTAGCACAACCTTAATTTCAGGTTAAATTCTACAAAATTTAATGTGTCAAAATCAAGGACATTGTTTATGTTTTTCAATTTTTCTCCTACGGACAATGAGCTGGAAATAGCAAGTTGCAAGAAATTTGAATGCAAAATATTCAGGAAAATATACTTACCCCCACTTTCACTGGGCGTTCGCATAGGCGAACTAGAATTCGTTTTTTGTCGTTTGGCCGCTGGTGGGCCATCAACAAGCTGGTCAGCCATGTTGTTTGGGTTTATTTCCGACGCCTTCGATAATTATCCGGCTGATTGCTCCAAATAGTCAAAATCAAAGAAATTTATCTCAGGACAAAAACAAAAGTTATTGATAAAAGTTTTGAATCTATCCATCCCATGACCCAGTTTGATGTCTTCAAATTATTGTGAAATTGCATCAAAATTTACGCTACTCCATGTTTGCGAGCACAAAGCGGCTCATAAAATGAATTTTCTCCCTCACCATTGTTCATCACATCTCGTTAGTCCAGTCTATTCCGGTGAAAAATTATCCTTGGTAAAACGATTTCTTAATATACCTAGGTAACTTTCCAAAATTATCGAATAAAACCAACATAAAAGGTTTTAAATCCAACGATTTGGTTTAGCTGGAAATACAAAGATGGCCGCTGTTGATTAACGCTTGTCACAGAATATGACGGAATTTACCGAGCTACCGAAATTGCGTCGGAAATTGATTATTCAGGAAATTATGATATCACGTGGTACAAATAGCTATCGTTGGTTGGTCAATTTGCTTATTGTCACGTGATAACATAAAATAGAAAATTACGGAATTAACCGATTCTTTGCATTATGGGAAGAAAAAGAGATTTTCGGATATTTCCGTGATATATTCCCAGGCTTGCGGCTTTAGGTACTAATATCATAGAGCTAGCTCATGGCTGATGAAGCCTTTTGGAATAGGCCAGCTTTAAAGATGTCATTTTTAATATCCGAAAAATTGTTTGACGGGCGAAAACTTTATTTGGAGACTTTCTGTATAGAAAAAACTCATTTTACACAAATTGCTATGGTTCTTAAAATTGTAATTCATAATTTTATCAAGGCTAGAGTACCATGAGTAACTTTTTAAAAGTAAAACAAATGATCCAAATGTTATGAAAATAGTAAATTTTATGCTCCATTAAAAGAAATAATTTTTGTGCAAAATATAATAATACTGTATGAAAATAATCCTTATTTGACATGATTTAATTCCCAAATTAAGCAAAAGTAATTGAATATTCCACATTTTCAAACATTTATTATTACAAAATGT